TTCAGCTTGCAAGTTCATCAGTAAATCCCATTTAACAGCGTTAGGTTGAATAACATTTCCATATATTTGCAAATGAACATCCCACAGTCAAAACCGTTGGTTTGTGTTGGAACTCCCTCGGCTTCCAGAACTTTCCATGATCTGATATCAGTTTGAAAGCAGCCCTGAGTTTCCTCGTGTAAGTGATCAATCTGTAATCATAGCTAAGTCAAATTAACGTTAATTTCACAATATGAATGTCTACAACACATTTAAAATGTACAGCACCCGACTAACCACTTGTGGGAGCACAGCCCGATGCATGGGGTTAGGTAACGAATCAAAAAAATACCAAGTTGCCTTCTTCAAGCAAGCAACCAGAAGAGTCCAATGTTCACTATCATTTACTGGCAGTAGCAAAAAGTTAGAAGCGGTTACTGCATCTTTGTTAATGTGCGACACGTACTGCTTACTTTCCATATCATATTTCTTGGATGCCTGTATGTGTATTCGGTTTAGGATAACTTTAAACATATTCAGTTACAGCAAGAAAAATAACACAATTACCCAATGCAGACTCGAAACATAAATAAATGGTTGATAAAGGCCAGGACGAAGTTTGTTTTTCTCAGCGAGCAAACTAGCGAAGGCGTCGATGTGGTTGTCGTCCAGATATTGGTCTGTTAATAGTTCATCGATTTGACTTCTAAAAATCTGGATGTTTCCTGTAGTATAAATTGTATCTGACCTGCAAAATAAAAGTCGGTGTGTTAAAATATGAAGTGTAACTACCAGTACCCAGCTGGTACCTATCAGTACTGAACGGTACCTACCAGTACCGAACGATACCTACCAGTACCGAACGATACCCACCAGTACCGAACGATACCCACCAGTACTATCCAGTACCAATCGGTACCAGAATGCCTTTACACATAATTTGCAATGTTACATACTTATATATCAGAATATTTCTCTAGACAAGCGTTGATAAACATCCTCATATCGTCACTTATCATTTGTCGACCAGGATATTCTATTTTGGTAGGAGCTGGCCTTGGTGTAGGTGATTTTTGACTTTCAACTTCAATCAGAGCATTTTTAAGTTCAAACTTAGCTGGGGAGGGCCTAGAAGCAGCTTTTTTTTAACACCTTCTTCTTATGTTGACCCTTGGTGTATGGTGTCTTAACCTCCTTAGCTTTACGGTCAGCCCGACGTCTCACATGTTTGGCTAT